CCCTGCTTTTTGCGTTCTGCGCAAACATCCGCGCTTCACTTCTTCTTCTTACTTAACTTCAGCGCGGCCAAAAAGTTTGGAGAGTACTGTATTTGTGTGCGTGTTTTATGTTGGTTCTGGTAAATTTTACATAGGGCCTAATATACTTCCGCTACTTTTACAATACAATTAACAATACAAACGCATAACCTAATAAACAATTCAATACAGTATTTTGCATAACAATATCAAGATGTCGCTAGTAGGTACGCGGTGCATTTAAAGGACCACAATGGCCCTTATTTTTGCTGTTACCAAGCCATATCTTTGTGCAAAAGGAGCGTGCGTGACCGACTATCCAGATACAGTCTACGCCAGCGGCACTTTGGGGAACGTAAAACCCAGTTATGCACCATTCTTGACTTGACTGTTATAAGTATAGATGTGAAAAGTCTTTAAATAAAATAAACCATAAGAGAATTTTAGAAATCAGAAGACTAACTTAATATTTTTTTGAATTTTTTTATAACATCACTATCTTTCAATTCGGTCTAATAGCTCAATTATTTTAAATTGAATGATATATATTTAAAAACGTCTATAAGCCATTGAAGTTCTTATAACTTAACTAATAAGTGATAATTGAACACATGCAAAAGCAAATTAATAATTACTTTAAAATAAAAAAAAATTGATGGATTAAAATGAAATGTATTCGTTAGTATTGTTTACTAATTAATTTAACCACGGCCCGGCGTTAGGGATGCTTTGCAGCAGCTGTGGTCAAGGGGACGACGCGGGGCTACATATGTTTTATTTCTATGTGTACTCGCGTAAACTACAGACAGTACTTCAAAATAACTTTTAAATGATGCGTCAACTGCATAAGCTGTGTACTGCAGCCCTAAATGCTTCATCAACTCATATGCTAATCCTAAAAATGAATTTTAACTCGTGCATCCGCCGCTTTTGTTGTAAGGTTCACATATTTGTCATCTCGCTTGGAATATTCATTGTTAATGTTTTTATATTCTTGGAAACAAGCAACCTAAACTTACTTTACCATTTAAATAAAATTGTATAAAAAATTTGTAATTTAATAAGTAATAAAACCTCTTCGAAAATTACCATTAAGAATTAAATAAAACACTATAACGGTTTAAAACGCGATATACTTTAATTAAACTTGTTTTAAATTTATTTTTAACTACGGCCCAAAGTTTCGGGTGCTTTCCAAGTTTTACTAAAATATATCGCGTTTTAAACCGTTAAAGTGTTTTATTTAAATGTAATAGTCGCGTAAACTACAGACAGCATTGAGGATTAATTACAAAACATATATGTCGAAGTATGGGTTCCAGACTTGTTTTTAAAATTGGTGACGTCGGCAGCACCGACGTCATAATTGTCAATATTGTTAGAGTGGTCCATTTTTACTATTGAAACACTTTTATAATTGAATAATAAAAATAGCTATAGACTAGACGTTCGCTCTGAGAGCGCCGTCCTTCCAAAAGTGTCTTGCGCTACAACGGACGGCCTTATAACACGTAGTGGGGATTTCATGGAGCGACCGACGTGAGTCACTTGTTTACGCCGTTAGGAACACGTCAGATGACGCAACGAATCGCCTGTTTGCGCCGATACGACCATCCTGACCGGCTGTGCGCGCTCTGCACTACCGTTTTGGTGTTTTACTGATGATTATTAATTTCTGAAACTGGTAAATTTTAATCTTTGAGATTGGTATCTGTGAACCAGGTTGCTAATAATTATTATGGTCACAATAAATTCATATCTGACTGAGTTTAGTGTATACTGTAGTGTTATGTTGTCACGTACACTGTGACACCAAAGTCACGCACTCTGTGGTACCAAAGTCGTGTACCCTGTGGTATTATTGTCGTGTAACACATACTAGTTACAGTGACAAATTATATTGGTAAAAGGTCATTTTAATTAACTGTTCATTCCACATGACAAAGTTAAATATTGATATTGTAAACGGTGACTTATTTAAGTAAACTGCTCATTCCACATGACAACAGTTAAGGACTAATGATATTGGTGATCTTATATTTTAATTTTATTGAACTGCTCATTCCACATGACAACAGTTTCGTATTTTTAATTTTATTGAACTGCTCATTCCACATGACAACAGTTTCGTATTTTAATTTTATTGAACTGCTCATTCCACATGACAACAGTTTCGTATTTTTAATTTTATTGAACTGCTCATCACATGAAACAGTTTCGTATTAATGTGTAGGCGGATAGCGAATACAATTAACAACACATGGAAGGATAGGTTGGAGACAGGGCGATGCTGCATAAACAGAGGCTCTAAAGGATGATTTGACTAGGTCGATGCTGTGATCTAGGCGGTCCTGAGCGCCGCGGACACAGGGGAATAAATTTTTTTTTTTTTTGGATAGGATTTCGCTACCGCTGGCCGTTGGTGGGCTCCAATACCCCAACGTGCATCTTTTCACATTATTATTATTATTTTTTTTTTTTTTTTTTGGCCGTTGGTGGGCTCCAAACCCCAAGTGCATCTTTTCACAAATATTTATGATTGACTCATAACGACAGTCGCTAAGAGCAATAATATTATTAGGATTAGTCAAAGGACTAAATGAAGTGAAGAATAAGTATTGCGCCTCGCTAGGTTAACAGATTAAATGGAACTCACCGGGATTTGTCAGATTGTCTCAATCTGAAGACTTTTTAATTTTTAACCAGACAAGGTCATAGGTCATTACATTAACTGTAAATTCTGCTGGGTTCTTGAACCCCTGAACCCTTGTGATATTCAATATCGAAATCATAATTTTGTAGAAATGTCCACCATCGATGAATCCACTGCCAAGGTTTCTAACTCTTGAGTTTCTTTTTTGACAAAGTGCAAGTGTTGGAGCTGAGGTTTCCACCGGTATTCCATCATTGCCATTTCCAGTATGAAATTTCCTTGTATCAGGCTATTAAGCGGAGAAGGTAGGTAATCCCACTTCTGATGTCGAAGTATGGGTTCCAGACTTGTTTTTAAAATTGGTGACGTCGGCAGCACCGACGTCATAATTGTCAATATTGTTAGAGTGGTCCATTTTTACTATTGAAACACTTTTATAATTGAATAATAAAAATAGCTATAGACTAGACGTTCGCTCTGAGAGCGCCGTCCTTCCAAAAGTGTCTTGCGCTACAACGGACGGCCTTATATAAGCACGTAGTGGGGGATTTCAGTGGAGCGACCGACGTGAGTCACTTGTTTACGCCGTTAGGAACACGTGCAGCGATGACGCAACGAATCGCCTGTTTTGCGCCGATATATACGTAGTTGTTCTATTTTCAAATTAATTTTATTTACATTGGGCTTATCGACTAGAGTTCTTGTTCTTTTAAATAAAACACTGTAACGGTTTAAAACGCGATATATTAGTTAAACTTATTTGAACATGATTTTTAAAATCGGCGCGACGTTTTGGATGCTTTGCAGAATGGAGGATGTCTCTGACATCAAAGTAAAAATTGCTACGTTAGCGCCATCTGTTCCGTCGAAGTTGGTATTTGGCGAAAATGGCCGTGTCCTTACAGAATGGACTAATGGTGTCTTCGCGTTTGCCGGTATGCTGTTTATTGGGATCCAGAGTTATCTCTCATTGTGTACTACTAGCCTAAACTTTAGATAGTATTTCTTTGTTCTTGTCAAAAGTAACTACTGATTCAATATTTGATAATAATATATAGAAAACATAATTCTAGTAATATTTTATATTGTTAGTTTTACTGCTAAATACTTTAGCTTAAAAATAAGTACAAATACCCAGTCTGTGCTATCTTATGCAATAAATCAGTACTTAAAAAAGGTGTTTCAAACTGCTTAACTGTACTTAGTGTTAAATAGAATTAAATGAAACACATTAATCCACGTAGATTGGAGTCGTGAGTTTAAGCTTGTTCGTTTATTAGGTGAATAAGTACACCAATTGAAACGATTGTCGTACTTTAGCTTTTACATCGCTTAAATGACAAAGGGCTTTTAAGTGAACCTAATTTATCTGACGAAAATAGTTTAGTGGACATTCGTTGCAGAGTAGGTCATTCAAGATGATAAAGTATAAGGACAGGTAGAGTTTTCGACTTATCTTAAATACATACATATAAGCCGTTATGTTACTGTGGATTCTATTTTGTAAGCGCCGCCCAAGTCCTAATTGGCGGATGGACTCTCACTAAAGACAGTAGCTAACAAAATCCTATCATTCTAGAAACGCCTCTGTATGTATAGATTATAGTTGTTGGTATTGTAGAGATATTATAGACAGGTGTAAGTATAATTTTAAAAAATCCACCCTAACACGCATGACGAATATTCGTGTCCCTAAAGTATGTTTCTTTAGTTCTTCTTTGTCCTTTAGTGGCGACCAACAATAGTAAAATAAAAAATGCCTCTATGAATAGAACAAAATTGATTGTCGAACGAATAACTAAATGTTATAGATAGAAAGTTTTATGAAAGTTAGGCGTATATCATGTTCTTAAAATGTCCATGATGTGTGCAGTTTTGTCATAATGACACTTATTACGTTACTTTTGTAAATAATATTTGAGATTACAAATATGGAGATAGTTAAATATAATGAGTTAACTAATTCGATATCCGTGTCGAAAACGGAAAATAAACTAAACTAGCATTAAGAATAACGTTCTTACTAATAGAATTACAAAATAAATTCTATAAATTTACAAGCTAACAGATTATTTCAGTTTCTTAGCTTCGTATTATCAGCACATATACTCGTGAATACATGGCTCTGGCTTTGAATCCCGAAGAATAGATAACAATCTATTGTTGTATATATCTTTCCCCGGGATTCAAACAGCGCTTAACATAATGATAGGCATGAATTTTTAACCATTTAGCTACAAAAGCCGCTAACATATGATTTAAGTACTACTAATTTTAAAATTTTACTAGCAATAATATTACAAATTAAGGTTTAATAATGTCTTTGCAGATGTAGCGACCAGTGCCTCTAGTGGTGCAACTTTGGGGGTTCCGCCATCTTGGGAACCCTTCTACTGTGTTTTGCAACAGGATCGCAGAACACTCACTGCTTATACCAGCGAAGAACTTGCTGTAAGTTTTAAATATTACTATTATTTGAAACATAATTTTCACAAACCTCCTATGTTCCTCTGCGAGATTATATTTATAGTGAAATACGAAAAATTTTTATCCGAATTATTAGTTACATGTATTGAAAAAAAATCGAAACCACACTTAATAACTGAACATGATTCTTATTTTTATTTATTTATAACATTATTACGTAAAACCAGTTCTAGGATTATATACTTTTTTAAGCTAAAAATTAAATATCAATTAAACAAAGTTGGGTTTATTACGAAAGTTGTTATTTCTAAAGATTTATCGGGCATAACTCAAGTCGCTTCGTCATTTTTGGTTATCAGTGCAACGCTTATATGGCATGCTTTAGGTAATCGACGTATACTTTGCACCGAAGATAAAATATAAAATTTACTCACCGGTGACTAATTTTACAAAATGCAAGGGGAAATAAAAAGACTGGCTAAACCAAATATAACGATCGATCTAACTTGACCATACTTCCCTAAATAATCAGATTTTATTAGATAAAAAAAAATCTAGGTATATATTTTTTAAATTTTCTCTAATTTAATATAATTTGTCTCAGCCGGTACACATAACAATATACTACAAATAAAACAGAGTATTTGACAATATATTGTGTGAAGTCAGGGTTTTATATCCCAGTAAAGTTAAGGAAGGATAGTAAAATAAAATAAAAACAGTAGTAAATAAAAACACCATCTTTCTTATTTGAATTAAAATTATTTACATACATAAAATGTAAATATGGTTTGGCATCTTATTTCATTCAACCAGTAAATTTTGAAAATAAAGAGTCAACTCTAAATAGTGTTCATACATACATTTTGCTTTCCCGAGTAATTAAATGATCTATCAACGTCATTATGAATTGTAAAATAATGTTTTGTGTAAGTACACTAAAACATTTGAAAACAATTATAATCTGTGGTAATTGTATTAGGTCTGTATGTCAAAATAACTTGCAATTATGTTTCATAAACCTCATTAATTTTTTCAACTCTACGTGACCCTTTATAATAACAGTTAATCAACTTATATTTTGAAGGCAAGGATCATTATCTATTCGAGTAAAACGACTCACGATTTAGTCGTAGATGTTAACTGCTTGGGCGTTTCATACATAAATCAAAATTACACAGTCTAGCAATGAAAGCTAACAAAACGTTTACGAGCGTGGTCCGTTGGCACGGGAATATCTTTCTTAACAAAAGGTTTAATCGTATTACATCCTTATGGAAAATCATTACTCAAGTAAAATATTAATATTTGTTTGTATTTTAAAAATCAAAGTTGAATGTAATTCACATTAAATTTAAAAATAAATTATACAAAATACACACGTCTAAATTTATTCTCAAATATAAATATGTGTCAAATCATTTAGTTTCTCATTTTCTAAAAGAATACCAGTTTATGATTCTTCCAAGACGATGTTTTGCACTTGAAAATCCTAGCGTAAGGCTCTCGATCAAAAAAATCACCGAAAGAAATGACTAAGTATTTGTTCAAAAGGCATTTATCCTTAATTTCTTACGCAAGAAAGTTTTTCTTTTTTAATAGAACTACAGACTGTCTATAGTTTACGCGAGTAGTACACATATAAATAAAACACTTAAACGGTTTAAAACGCGATTTATTAGTTAAGCTTATTTGGAAATGATTTTAACATACATAACATAATGATTTTTAACAGTCTCCCCGTGACCACGGCTGCTGCAAAGCATCTGAAACGTCGGGCCGAAGTTAAAAATCATTTCCAAATAAGTTTAACTAATATATCGCGTTTTAAACCGTTAAAGTGTTTTATTTAAAAGAACTAAAGACATTTGCCAGGCCTAGTAGTTAAAGTATATATATACCACCCATTTATTGTGCCATTTCCATTACCGATGTACTATTAGGAAAGTGGCCTAGAAGACGTCTTGATCGAATGGCAGGATGTCGTAGGTATGAGAAAGGAAACGCAGTGTTACTGTATGGAGATAATATCTGAGATGAAGATGTATGAGTCTATTATTTGTATAGGAAATATTAATTTCGTATAATCAGATCACATTAGTTTGTAGACGAAAAATGTAGGTTTGTATTTAATAACATGATGTGAGTTATGGTATCCGGTAAGTGATTGAGGAACCGAAGGCATAGGATACAAGTTGATGGCAGCTACTTTGTAAATGTTAAAAGTTTTTATTTTCAAAACAAACTACGACTTTTAGCAGTATAAAAATGCTTTTTCGGCTTGGAAGTTTTTTGGGGAAGTATTCAGTATTTTATTAAATGTTTTTTTTACATCTTATTGCACATAATGGCAATATAAGGCTGCTAGAGGCAGAGTGACCTAATAACAAAAAACATGATTTCCAATAAGGAGCAAAATAAAAATGCGCAACTAACGTAGGCGAAAATGAATTTATACTATTATTTGTGAAAAAAATATGTTTATAATTTTCGGCCATTGTAGTCTTGTAGATTAACATTTTTAGACAATTAAAATATTAATAACTCAAGTCACAGAATTGCAGTTAGTCTACTCTGCCCCTAGCGGCCTCACATATATTTTAAATTTATTTATCTTTAAATATTGCAAAGGTTGAGGTGAGAGAAGTAATATTAAAATAAAATAAATATTTATATATTTTTATTTTCATGCTATCAGTCTTTCCCGGGATTCTACATAGACAAGGTAAGAAAACGCATGAAACACAGAGTTTGCGAAATACCTAAGTATGCTAGTTTATAATACCCCAGTGTAGACTTTTAACATTCGAAATAATATTGCATTGTCTATATCGCCCTATAATCAAATTAGTTTCACTTATAACGAAATAAATTATAAGGATATTGCTACAATAATAATGAATTGGTTTACAAATTTAGTATAACGCCCCGCGGTGTTACCTTCGATACATAATATCTATTTAACGTTTTTAAACAATATAAAAAGTAATATTGCATTTATTAAGTTTAATACAGAAATGTAAATATTGTTATGAACCATACTAGAAAATTATTTACCTAATATGTTTGCTCTTTTTACCATAAAAGAAAGTAATGTATTTTTAACGTTCCTCGCATAATCACAACTCCGTTAAAATTTTAATTTTTTAAATTCACTCTCATCGGTTGCATTTGTCATACAAATGACACAGTCTTCAGTTTTCAGGTCTCGCTTTAGTCAGTCTTATCACCTAAGTTTTGCATAGATAATATACTAATAATAACATTTTACAACGCTCTGCCAAATATGGTGGTCTCGCCTTACTGGTCAGTATTTTAACCACGTGTTCTAGTGCGCCCGCGCAGGTCGTCGCTCGTGACATGCGCCCTACTTTCCATTTACGTTGTAAATCAAATTCGCTTTTTAATACTGTAACGTTATAGATTTCATAACAATAAACATGTTTTTATTGTATTCATTGCGACCAGTTTGATTACTGGGTTAATTTTATTTACCCTATCAATAATTAATTTATACTGGTCGACTTATGATTGACTTCGTCTATTCGCCCGTCGTTATTTTCTGTATTGTATATTGTGATACTAGTTTTTCATTTAAATATCTAATCATATAACGTATATAAGGATAAGACTATTATCTAATAAAATTAAAAACGTATTGTATTTTTGGATTTATTTTAAAAGATTTGGATTGATGGTTTCAAAATTGTCGTAAATTTCCCCCTATTCCCCCCTGTTGGGCATGGGGCGAACTCATTTCTGTGTCCGTTTCACTTATCGGTTTTATACTTTTGTGCCTTGACCGACCAAATCTATCCATTGTTTTCCGAGGTTCAACCCCAGGGCTTCTCGTGTTTAACGGACAGAAGTGGTCATGGTACAAGCATGAAATACTTCTACGATAATTATTTGCCCAGTTGTAGGCATTCACGTTCTAAGTTAGCTGCAACATTATTTATTATCCTTCCTACTCCCGTTCTCAGAAGCGGGATGCGGTCGTCTGATGTCCTATTTTGGACGATGTATTGTGGTTATCTTTAGCACAGTGACATCACAATTTTAAAAACATTATTAGCGCTTTGAAACTACTTTCAGGACTGAAAGTCTTTTATTATTTTTATAATGCAAAATTTCTAAGATGATATTTGAACCTCAGGATTAAATTAATTTGTGAGGCATTTTAAACTAAATTATCTTATGTTATAAATATAATAAACAGTATCGGTAGTTTTCGCGTGTAGTACACATTTGAATAAAACTAACTAATTTTAAACACTTTAACGGTTTAAAACGCGTTTTAAACCGTTAAAGTGTTTTGTTTTAAAATGTAGTGTTTTAGTTAAATTATATTTACATAACTAAATCAAAATGTATTTCGATTTATAAATCGAAATACATTTTGAAGACTCGAGCCGGCATCCACAGCGTTCCGTGCTGCTGCATTAACCAATTTAGTTTCGAGTCCATAAATGCAATTCTGATTACATAATACTAATAATTAAAATTAATAAATAATACTAAATAATGTTTCGTGCTACATGCTATTTTGTATTATTATTTTTTTTTAATTAACACCTTATTGACCAACATCTAAAAACTTCTAACACTGCTATCCTAAAAATAAAATAACGCTGTTATATTACGTAAAATGACATCAACGCCATATGGTTTATTTTGAACGCCACACGCCAACAGATTTGTTCTCAACGCTAAGTATAATTAATGAGTTGATAATATCTTGAAAAAGAAAGAACGTTATTCATCAAGAGCGCAACAAAATTTGCATTAAGCTCTGACTCATGCTCCCGTGTTGTTGAACTTGTATTTGAATTTCAAACGCTGTCAACAGAAGTAACTCAGATGAATTATGACTTTTTTAGTTTACGAGTAACACGTAACATTCAGTTTCTTTATACCAATATTATAGAGCTCCAAAGTTTGATTGTTTGTTTGAACTTGCTAATCTCAGAAATGACTGGTTTGAATTGAACATTTTGTGTTGGCTTTAGGCTTTCCAACATTAA